CAGTGGTGTCAAACTCAAAACCTTTAGAGGGCCAATTCGTATTTAATTACCCTCTTCAGTGCCAACACAAGTGCTATATCACATATTTACAGGATTGAAGTTTACAGTTTCACACATTGCCTTACCTGGCTTACCAGGAATACCTCATTTGGGTTTGTCTGATCTTAAGTACAGTATGTAAAATTAATTTTCATAATTTCATGGGATGGTAAATTTTACAGTCATCCCGTGGGCCACACCTGACCATCCCAAGGGCCACATTTGGCCCGCGGGCCATGAGTTTGACACCCCTGGTCTAGATATCTGAACGACCTTCTTATAAGACCCAATAATTTATTTGCCTGATTTACCTTCTTCTCACAATGGCCCGAGAACTTCAGTTCATTGACAACATACACACCTAGGTCCTTCTCACATTCAGTCTCAAATAGTGCAGTTTCTTCATCCCGTTGGGACATACGATACGCCTCCTTACCGTTGGCATGCCCCAGGTGCATCCTCTTACACTTCATGACATTGAATCTCAGCAGCCATTTCTTCGACCATTCTTGGAGGCCACAGAGGTCCTTCTGCAGCTCTTCACAGTCCTCTTGGTTCTTAATTTCCTGAAATAACTTGGCGTCATTGGCAAACATTTGTATGGAGGAGTGTACAACATCAGGCATGTCATTTATGGAACAAACAACAGCGGGCCCAATACACTGCCCTATGGTACCCCATTTGTGACAGGTACGGATGATAATTTCGTGCCATTAATCACCACACACTGCTTGCGGTCATGTAGAAAGTCTTCTATCCACGTTAGGACATTTCCCCGAATTCCGTACCCTTCCAGTTTGATTTTCAGCCTTTCGTGGGGTACACTGTCGAAAGCCTTGGCAAATTATAGGTAAATATTGTCGATATTACCACCCCGTTCCAGAATATGGGTCCAAATATCCAATTGTGTTAAGCAGGAGCGCCCCGGTATGAAACAGTGTTGGCAATCCTTTACAAGGTTGTTTCGTAGTAGATGTTCCATCGCAGGATCTCTGATAATACTCTCAAGTACTTTACATATTATGCTGGTCAGGCTCACCGGTCTATAGTTGTTCGTGGAGTGACGATCGCCCTTCTTGAAGATAGGACTCACATAAGCCACTTTCCATTCGCTGGGGACCTTTCGTTCATCCAGGCATTTGCAAAGCAGGTTCTTAGGGGCTCGGCAAGCTCGTTGCTCAACTCTCTTAGCACTCTAGGATGCACCATGCCAGGGTCGAGATTCTTATGGACATTTAGCTTTGACAGTTTATTTCTAATACCCTCTTCTGTGAACACAATGTGGGTCAGTGCTGTGTTGAACCGTCTGTCCTCAAACGCAGGAAGGTTAATCGCATCCTCTCTTGTGAACACCAAGGAAAAGAAGCTTTTCAGTGCCTCAACTTTATCCTGGTCAGAATCTGCGTAACTACCATCTTCAAGCCTCAGGTCTGATACTCCTACTCGCGTTTTTAATTTCGACTTTTCATAGCGGTAAAACGCCTTTGGGTTTGACTTGACCTCGCGTGCAACCAGCCTCTGGAACTCCTTTTCAGTCCTTCTACATTCTATCTTTGCTTGGTTTCTGGCTCTTGCATACATCCTCCTGTCCTGCTCATCATTTGACCCAACCCACGTCTTGAATTTCTGAGTTTTCTTCTTAACTTTGTAGACCACCGCATGGTTCATGTGAAGGGATCCTCTCGTATTCCTAGAGGCACTGGGTTTGGTCTTGGGTATGTGTTTATCGATCAAATGGGTCACTTTACTAGTTATGATATTCAGCGTAGTGTCTGCGTTCTTGTGCCTTAATGAGTCAGGCCAGTGGATACCCCTCATCTCTTCCCTCATCCCGTTGCAATTTCCCCTGTAGTATTTGCACCTTGGCCTGGCCTTATCTTGAACTAGGTAACAGTTAGATCTGAATGACAACACCATATGGTGACTGGTGCCAACTGGGGCAAGGTGTTCCGTTGTTTGCTCCCCTCTGTAATGTGTCGGGTCTCTAACATGTTGGAACAGAAAATTATCTCTCAGAGTTTCTACAAAAAGAGTAGCAGGGTTATTCAGGTCATTTGGGGTGAATTCGTTTCTCCAGTCGATGTCGCCATAGTTAATGTCCCCCATGATAAGGAGGCGGCTAGGGTTGAGCATCGCCGCGTTGTATATTAAGGCTCTTAAGTTCCTTTGATTTAGTGGGCCACAGTTTGGGGATCTGTTCATACACTCGACAATAAGTAAGTCCCCTCCCTTTAATTTAATTTTACACCACTTGGGCTCTTCAAAAACATCCTCTCCCTGTACCCTCGCCTGGCTGGCTCTAAGATCTTGCCTAGCACAGATAACCACACCCCTCTTGCAAGTTTCTTGAGAAAGGTTCATAAATGAGTCATATCCAGCAATACTGAACTCACATTCCTCTGGGTCGATTGTCCTGTTCTTGTGCAACAGTTCGACAACTCCCACAATATCTGGTTGTTGTACCCTCGGTAGTGTTACAAACTTCTCTCTTTTATCATGGAACGTGTCAGTATTAGTGTACATGACTTTCAAGCCCGAATTTGTTCTCGGTAACATCTGTACTCTTTGTAATACCCCCCCCCCCCTTTCTCAGAAGCTGCAGCATTTGCTAAGTACATTGTATTTTGCAGGGTGTGGTTAGAAATGTAATTGTTTACAGGGCGCTCGCCTTCTCCCGGCTGGTAGGCGGAGCTGGTGCCACCTCCTGGGCTGGGGGCGGGTGGAGGGTGCGCTGCTGTCCCCTGGCCCTGTGTCGGCACATTTGCTTCCATCACTCTCTCCCTGAATACAACTCATGTACACCCGTCCCCGCTCCTCCTCGACTCCTCCCTTTTCTGCTTTAAGCCCTGCAGGAGCTTCTTGTGCTGTTCCCTCTGCATTAACGTGCGATCTGGGTGAATGAATACACTCCGAAATGCTTCGCTCCTTGCTAAGTTTTTTGCCTGCCGAATAACCTCCCATTTCTCCTGCTGACTCACTAGTGTGATCCTGAGGGGGCGAGGCTTGTCCCCCTGCTTTTGTCCCAGCCTCCTCACATCCTGAGGGGTTGATGGCATCTTCAGAACCTCTGTACAAATGTTCTTAAACTGCATCTTATTATGTGTTATCTTAGTCTTGGTTCCCTCCGCCTGGCTCTCAGGGACTCCACACCTTGAATTTCTGGGTTTTCTTCTTAACTTTGTCGACCGCCGCATGGTTCATGTGTAGGGGTCTCCTTGTATTCCTAGAGGCACTGGGTTTGGTCTTGGGTATATGTTTATCGATCAAATGATTCACTTTACTAGCTATGATGTTCAGCAGTGTCTGCGTCTGCGTTCTTATGCCTTAGTCACTAAGGCATAGTGAGTCAGGCCAGTGGATACTGTAGTGGATTTCTCCCCTACAAACGCTGTTTGTCGCTGCGTAGCCGACCCCACGAATTCCACAGTGTGTGCCTCGTGGTCTAGGTCAACCAGCGCCGCCATACATCACGGAGCGGGGGTCAACTACTAAGCCACGCCTCCCCCCTGCTATTTAAGACCTGACCTCGTGGTGACCTGTCTCTTTCCACCTCCACCAACCAGCCAGCAACACCTCCTCCTGCTCCGCTTGCTTGGTGGTCCTCGCTCCCGCCGGCGAGCATGGCGGCCCACAAGCTGGTCCTCCTCTGAGCACCCTCACCAACCAGCTCTCTCTACATCACGCTTGTAACCATGCTGCCTTCCCAGCACCAAGCTGCATTGTACATCTAATACAACATGTATACAGAGAGCACATTGTGAGTTTCCTTTCTCCAACCCATTCTGAGTGAACACAAACATCCCATTCCCTACAATACCTCTCATCTCCTCCCTCATCCCTCGCAATTTCCCTTGTAATATTTTAACCTTGGCATGGTTTTGTCGTGAACTAAGTAACAGTTAAATCTGAATGACATCATTACCTGGTGGCTGGTGCCAACTGGGGCTTGATGTTCCAGTTTGGCCACCATACCCTCCTCGTTTGTTATGATGAGGTCCAGTGGCTTGGGTGTTTGCTCCCCTCTGTAATGTGTCGGGTCTTTAACATGTTGGAACAGAAAATTATCTCTTAGAGTTTCTACAAAAAGAGTAGCGAGGTTATTTAAGTCATTTGGCGTGAACTTGTTTCTCCTGTCGATGTCGCCATAGTTTAAAGTCCTCCATGATAAAGACGTGGCTTGGTTTGAGCATCGCTGCGTTTTCTATTAAGGCTCATAAGTTCCTTTGGTTTAGTAAGCTACAATTTGGGGATCTGTAGATACACCCGACAATAAGTAAGTCTCCTCCCTTTAATTTAATTTTACACTAATTGGATTCTTCAAAAACATCCTCTCCCTGTACCCTCGCCCGGCTGGCACTAAGGTCTTGTCTAGCATAAATAACCACACCCCTCTTGCAAGTTTCTTGAGAAAGATTCGTAAATAAGTCATATCCATCCGTCAATACAGAACTCACATTCCTCTGGGTCGATTTTTCCTGATCTTGTACAACAAACAGTTTTACAACTACTATATCGGGTTGATGTACCTTCAGTCGTGTTTCAAACTCCTCTCTCTTATCAAGAGTAATTATATTCTAAGGATACGTTTCTTGTGTAAGTAATTTGAAGTTTAATTTCTAAGATTTTGTATAATGGTTGTGAAAATGGAAACATAAAAGCAATTTCAAAACATATGAACTACAGTTTTCATAAAAAGAATATTGGTAACTTCTTTAAATTTCACATGATATATGAAAAAAATAGTATAAAACTTCAAATTATTCACAGGAGTAGGTCATTCCCCAAAACAAGAAAATTAGTGCCCGTTAAAGATTTGCAATGTACAGTACTTCTTTTAGCTAATTTTCGTATTTCAGGGAAACCAGTAACCAGTTAGTTTCACCTGACCATTATGGCGACACCTGGCACGTACCTGGAGGAGGGGAGGGGCGCACGTTTCACTCAATATTGCGCCGTAAGTAATTCATTTTCTCTCTGTCCTTGAAAATCTACTCATTGCTATAGGTTAAATAGTGCATATTTGGATGGTCGGTGTAGTTGTCCCATCAGTGAAATACTATATTGACTTTGGTTGGTAGTCCGTGGAGAAAACCTGTGCAGGTATGTAAGGAGGTCGAATAACTTAGCTAGTGACTCATTTCCTTGTATGACATTCCTGCAGTTTTATTGTGGTTGTTTGGATAACGGGAGAAGGCTGTTTGGTCTTTACGGATACCCAAACTAATCCCCATTTGCTGTAAGTTTGAAATCAGTTGTTACTTGTGCGTTGTAAGTTAAAATTATAGGTTACTAATTTATGACTTGTGTTAAGTTACGGTACAGGTAACACAATAACACTTCTTTTGTTAATAGTGCTTGTGTAGGGTCATCTGTGGCAAGTGAAGTTACTATAGTGTTTTATTCATTGACTGGCTATGTACTGTGATTGTTAACTGTTGAATCTTGGGTAGTTAAGTAGATCATGAATATTATTTCAGATAATGTCTACATGTTTTAGCTTGGTTCATATATTATTTTCGTCTGTGTTGGATGTGTGTAACATGTATTTAATATAATTTTGGGGGATTTGTAATATTACACCTGCACATTGAGCTTCAGCGTGGGATCATACTCATACTAATCTTATGGACAGCATTTGATGGAGGAACAAGGAAAACACATATGTGATTTAATGAAAATAACAGTCCCACAACCACTAAAAAGTCATGTGAAACTTTCTTTTGGTCTAATGCTTGGCTTTCTGGTGTTCTTCCTTGTCACAACCTATTACAAAAATGTTTTCTCCTATATCACTTTAATTGCTTCACCAATATGTACTTGTTTGGGCCATTCTTCCAGCCATACTTTGTAGAACAGCCTTTAATTATGGGGGGACATGAATCAACCAATGCACTCACATATACAGTAGGTGTACAATGAAAGACAAAAGTCATGTCGTGAAATTTGGTGAAAACATATGCCGAAGGGCTAAGCTTAGGGTCCGACTAATTACCCAAATGTACCCAAATGTAGCCAAATATAGCCGGAATGAAGTCAAATAATGGTCCTAGATGAATAAATTGGACTGCTAATCACTTCTCGACTAGCATTTGGTGTCAGAAAGTCACCAAAAATTGGTAAACTTAATTTAATCTGAGTTAATAGATCGAGTGCATGTACCTAACCTAACCTAACCTAACCTCGACTTGTATTTGGTGTCACGAAGTCACAAAAATTGGTAAACTTAATTTAATCTGAGTTAATAGATCAAGTGCATGTACCGACGGAGCGAGGAATTACCCAAATGTACCCAAATGTAGTCGCAATGAAGTCAAATAATGGTCCTAGATGAATAAATCGGACTGCCAATCACTTCTCGACTAGTATTTGGTGTCACAAAGTCACCAAAAATTGGTAAACTTAATTTAATCTGAGTTAATAGATCGAGTGCATGTACCTAACCTAACCTAACCTAACCTCAACTAGTATTTGGTGTCACGAAGTCACAAAAATAGGTAAACTTAATTTAATCTGAGTTAATAGATCAAGTGCATGTACCTAACCTAACCTAACCTAATCTAATCTAACCGAACCTAACCTAACACAACACAACACAACTCAGATTAAATTAAGTTTACCAATTTTTTTTTACTTTATGACACCAAATAATAATCGAGAAGTGATTCACAGCCCGAATTACGCTTGTACGACCATCATTTGACTTCATTGCGGCTACATTTGGGTAATTCCTCGCTCCGTCGGTACATGCACGCGATCAATTAACTCAGATGAAAGTAAGTTTTCCAATTTTTTGTGACTTTCTGACACCAAATACTAGTTGAGAAGTGATTAGCAGTCCGATTTATTCATCTGGGACCATTATTTGACTTCATTCCGGCTACATTTGGGTACATTTGGGTAATTAGTTGGACCGGCTAAGCTTATGGTGTGCTCTGCCCTGTGGTAGGGGGCTCTCGTAATGCTTCACGAGTTATATTTAATCTCCGGACAAAACCGCAACACGACATCTGTCTTTGATTGTACAGTGATACTTTTCTGTTTCTCTATTTATTTATTTTTGTATTAAGCGTGTTTGGCAATGCAGCATTTTACAACAACATTTGTTAGAATGAGCGGTAATTATTTACGACGTCAAAGCTGCTGATTTTTCATAGAAAAGGGAAAAGTGCCGCAATTTCACAGTATTTTATAGTGGACACTGTCGTAGTTATGGCAAATGTTTGTGTGTATTTAAAAGTTCAAGTTAATTTAACCTAACCTAACCTAATCTAGCATAAATTAACACCTGCTGTGGGTGAACTTACAGTTACTGAGACGGGGGGGGGGGGGAGAAGCGGCTGTGAAGTTCTCCATGTTAGCCGAATGAGCAACTTCAGAAATTAGAAAAAATAACGAAGAAAAATTGGTAATATTTACGAAATTACTATTTCCACTTTTATTTTTACAGGAGTACAGTATAGATGGTGCCTACACATGTTCATTATTCTCACATTTCACATTTCCTCTACTAAGGTTTATTGTGTGATGATTTAGGTTAGGTTTCCGTTTTTCTCTGATTTTATCCTGCTTTTTGTAAATAGGGCAAATATTCGTTTAATGGCTGTGGCTCCGTTTTGTTATGAGCATAAACTTATTCTCATAAAAATCTAAACTTCAAAATCACTGTTGAAACCTAACCAAACCCAGAATAGCCTAGAATAACCAAATACAAAAATCTTGCCTCAGCCATTAATGAATATTAACCGTAAATTATTGATGTGTTTGGTAAATACTCTTAAGTGACCATTCACAGAAATTAATTAAATTTTTTATACAGTATTCTTTTTCACTGTTTCCCATGAATATAACCATTTTTCTGGCAGAAATGAATACTTCTGGAGAATACCTGTACTGTACATATCTAATTTAGCTTATGATCTGGTAAAGGCCCACCATGGAACTCTATATTGATTTGTATATAGGAGCCCCTCTTGATAAGAATGTTAGGTCAGGTCCTTCTGGCATGGACTTGTTGAACCAAAGAACTTTTCTTCTATCGAAAAGTTTCCTAACTCGGCTCCTTAACCCAGGTACCTGTTCCTAAATATTACACTGTAAGATTTTCTGTAATAGTAGATTTTCTTTGGTATTGTCATTTTTTTTCGTCTGTTTTTATCCCGCAATTTCCCTCAACTTGTAAGCCAAAATTTTTATTATGTAAGTGAAATTAAAAAAATAAATAAAGATATAAATTTTGATGGAAATGCTGTATTATTCTTTTGCTCTATCTCTCTATATATAAATCAATATAGAGTTCCCTGGTTAACCTTTCCAAACCTCTACCCTAACTTACGGTAACTTAACCAGAGAAACCAGAAGGACCTGACTTCACCTCCTATCCAAGGGGGGCAGAGCCACCTGGACCCCCTGGTGTGTTAACCTAACTGTATCTAACCAAAACTTAATTTAATTATCAGGTGGAGGAGGATAAAGTTATATCACTTGAAGGAGGAAGTGTGCAGCACTATGGTGTTATGAATCTTTATGATGAGCTTGGAATATGTACTGAGCAAAATATTGGCAGTACAGTAGCGTTCTATCTTATTGTCCAGCCTTTCACAGACAGAAGCTGTCTTTCCACTAATTCAAATTCACGCAACATCAACACTTCAGCTGATTGGCTGAGTTAGAAGTAAACAAAAAATACTTGCTAACTTGTAATTTCTTAAGTGAAAATAACACAAAATCAGTATAAGAACCAAAATAAAGTTTCATGAAAAGTCACTATGGAATATTAATCATGTGTTTATAAATGTAAATAGGAAAAAGAAAATAGACATCTATATACAGTACTGTACATATACAGCTGCTTCTCGACTTACGACGGGGTTAGGGACCCAAATCCAGTTCGTAAGTCGAATTGGTTGTACGTAAGTCGAAAATGCTTAAATAATACATAGAAAATCTAAAATGGGTGTCTCTTTTTCTTCTCAGCACCACAAAACTCACTTTTAAGCTTGCCAGCCATTTTAAAGTGAATTACAAACGAAAATTTTGTCAGGACACAGTGCAATCATTAACGTTGGGACTCGAAAATACGTAATTTGAAATTTTTTTGGTACGACTGAGGCGGTCATGTGTCTGGGTGGTCGTAGGTCGAGTAGTAAGTCGAGGAGTGGCTTTATTTACTATACTGTATTATGAGGCACTACAGACTTGATTGCATTATGCTTGGTGAATCATTCCATTTGCCATGAATCACTGAAATACTGTCCACCCTGATTTAAGATGTGCGATGGTGTTTCTTGTGTTTTTATTGTATTTTTTGTTGTTATATGTGTTAATGAATACAGTACAGTATATGTATGAAAGAAATTAGCCATGCTATGTACCATACATGTACAGCATACAGTATACCTGTACAGGTTCATACATTCTGTATATTTATTATGCACCACTGTAGACATCTGTTTATGGTATTTTATGTGTGTAATACTGTAGCATTTTCTGGGTTTTAATGTTTTTATTTTGTTCTTATTCTAAGTGTTTCTTAATGTAAATAGAAAAATGCATTTCTATATACAGCTCCTCCCCGACTTACGACCACACGCACTTACGACCTGCCTCAGTCGTACCCAAATTTGGTCAATTTACGTATTTTCGAGTCCCAAAGTTAGTACACAGACAAAATTTTCATCTGTAATTCTCTTTAAAATGGCTGGCAAGCTTAAAAGTTAGAGTTTTGTGGTGCTGAGAAGAAAAAGAGACCCCCATTTTCGATTTTCTATGTGTTATATAAGCATTCCGACTTACGACGTGGATGTTGGTCCCTAACCCCGTCGTAAGTCGGGGAGGAGCTGTACAGTACACATACAGTACCATATACGTACAGGTGTATACGCATTATGCTACACTTCACACACATCTGTGTATGGGTCTTTATGTGTGTTCTCTTACATTACTTTTACTGTACTGTACAGTACCAGTAATTTAAATAGTAATACAACAATAAATAACGAAGTAGGACCCCATACACACTACATACAAGTAATTCTTTCACACTACTGAACATCTATTAATAGGATTGCTGAAGCTATGCCTGATGAAGCACAGAATGTCATTCAATTTGGTTTTGCAATATAAAAACTATTTTGAAATGAAGCATCTGAATATTACCAGTACTGAAATTATATGATGACAGCAGTCAACATACTGTAGGCACACAAGTAGGATTTCATGAAGATGAGGCACCCCAAAGTGTTAGTCTTTTAAAATGATAGATAATACCGTTAAGCCTTTGGTTGCCATAAATAAAATTTATAAACTACTGGTACTTTCAGGAACCTCAAATATCATCATGTCTCGACGAAGCAGAAACGACAAATATGAGCCAATTAATTGGCATGAAATCTTCCAGAGGGTATGTATTTCCTAGTACAGTACAGTACAGTACATGTACACTTGTACAGTAATGTACTGTACTGTAGTACTGTATCACAACTAGGGCCTCCAACACTAGTTGAGCATAACTTCAAGTCTTTTTTTTAATGGAATACTGTACAGTACGAAGACTTTATCATGTGATTACATATACATTGTATTTAGAATTAATTGAATTCTTTATAGGATTTATTTTTTAAGTGAATTATTTTTAATTACAGATATTTGATAACAAAATTCTAGTACAGTACTACACAGTACTGTAATTGGGTGCATTGAAATAACTTTGAATCAGCTCTCTAAATGTTTTTCAATCTCACAAACAAAATTTGTAAAGCAAAAAGCCATCGAAATAAGAGGTGACTGCTATTCATAGAGTATACATACAATATTATGGAAGAATCTAAGGGCATCCACACATGATCCACTTTCAAGCAACTTTGTTGTGCCTTAAAAAAGTGGTGGATGATATTTTCCTAGCCCTCATACAAGCCACTTTTTGGGATGGCCACATGTGGGCTTCTGTCAAGTCTGTCAACATGGACTTTGAAGAGGTAGCATTTTTTTTTTTTAATACAGATATTTAGGAGCAGGCATGTGTCTCTACACTTTGAGTACCTTCTTGGAGAATCATTGGTTCAACAAATATTATTCAAGACTTGTGATACACTCTGGAAGCATTTAAGTGCCACCCACATATATGCCTGAGAAAAATCAAGACGGCTGGATCAAGGTTGCAAGGGATTTTTATGCAGCTACACTTGATTTCCTAATTGCACTGGTGCTATTGATAGAAAGCATATTAAAGTAAGAAATCCACACAATACTGTAGTAGTTCTGATTTCTTTAATTATAAACACTTCTTCTCAATGGTACTCATGGCTTTAGTATATAGTCACAGTTGTTTCACTGACTGTGGATGTTGGGGCTGCCAGGAAATTAAGCAATTCAAATGTGCTAAAAAGTTCTAATTTAGGTAAGAAATTAGACTGTGGTTGGCTCAGAATTCACATATAGGGATTGTACTTCAATCCAAAATTTTTTATATAATTCTGTCACTATACAGTCCTTCTTTAATTTTGAATTGTAGAGAGCTGGACGTTTGTCAACTGTGAAAAGTTAATACTTTTCACAGTCAAATACAGTAGTTCTTTACTAGACATATTTATTGTAACATGGGAAGACAGCACCAGTGAAGTGTTCTGCCCCTTTTCATTCTGCACCGATGTATTTTTAGCTGGCCACAAAATACCTGTAGTAGTTTGTGTGTGCGTTCTCACTTAAAATACCTGTACATAGTTCTATCACTAGCTACTGGTGGCCAGCCTCTGTTGTGTGGCAGAGAAAATTGATCTGGTTGTGTGTTTTTTTGTTTTGTTTTTGTGGTTGCCACAAAATAATGGCCCGTGTGTAGTCTTCGTATAAATACGGGTAAGTCATTTATTTCCAAAAAATCATAGCCACAAAGTTACTCGAAAGCGGTTTGTGTGTAGGGGCCCTAATGAATTGTGTTTAGTCAATAAGTAGGTCCAGTGGTCAAAGGCCCATGGTATTCAGTAGAATTGTTGGTTTGGGGGCCATCTAGGACACCATAAACCAGGGGTTATAAGAAACTCAGGATCACAATTTACTTTGGCCATTTCAAGGCAAATTTAGTGAAGAAAAATTATACTGACAAATTGTCCACCACTTTACTGTATTTGTTGATATACATACATGCTAGTACAGTACAGTAATATTTTAGATTGCAATATTATAATGTATTAAAAAATTTTTGCAATTACTGTAGCTGGTATGTATTAAATGTTTATTTTGTTTAATTAAAGTTGAAGTGAATTTGACAAACTAATTTTCATTAAGTAAATTTCTAAGTATATTACATGTATTTAGTTCAAAAGTGGATGGCAGGAGAGAGAGGGAAAGATCATGAATGAGTTAGAAGAGTGAGGGAAGTAGTGGATAGGAGGAGGATGGACAGCTGGAGTTTAGTATTGAGTGGTTTTAAGGGATGGTTATAATTCTATGTTGTATAAAGCGACACTAGTAAGCTAAATGGAAATCTTAGGACTGTGCTGGGGAAGATGAGCACCATAGCAGAGTATGTCTGTGACCGCAATTTAGGGAAACTTAATGACCATCTACTTTGTTTTTGGTTTTGGCCGCCCAATAAGAAAAATTTGCAACAGTGAGAAAAGGGTAAAAAAAATATGCTAAAGTGAAATTAGTAGGTAATTTTTAATGACACAGAATTTTAGCCTGTTATTTTCATTTTGTATAAAATTGTCTGTGATATAGATCGACAGTGATGGGGATGGTTACATTCTTCGGTCCGAGCTGAAGAAGTACCTACTAAACACACCTGTAAGTGAAGTTCCTCTCTCAAATGACATGGTGGATAGTATGCTTTATCATGTGGACTACAACAATGATGGATTTATCAACTTGCAGGAGTTTTATGGATTGGTAAGTATTTCATATCACTTTCCAACATTATTAAAATTTTGTAAGCTGTAGTACTTGTTTTATTGTCTCATATTTTTTCAGAGTACAGGTATATTAAAATGAATTGAAGTTTTAGACTATGGAATTGTATTTTGTTATACAGTACTGTACAGGTATTACGTTTTTCAGGTCAATGTCCCAGTTGATGCAGGAACCCGGTCTATTGTACAGAAAACTCTTGTAGCTACAGCTTTCTCAATTGCTCCACGTTCTCAAGTGTCTCATGGGGATCGTCTCTACATAGCAGAGTACTCCTGTTGCCCCCCACCTCTTCTGATCCCTTTACTTTGTGCATCTGAGGTGAGGATTACATTGTTCTTACAGTATATGTTTAGGAAGTACAGTATATTACTGTATTATCGTATCCATCCCTCTCTTCCTTTAATTCCTGAGTTTTTGTTTACTGAAATGAGACGTTTATGGTGTATGCTTCTTTGAATATTCCCAAAAAATAATTTAAAAACTTATCATATTTAGAAACATTATACCTGATGTCACAGGAGCAGAGGAAGAGTTGGATGTAGCCACCTTGATAACCTAAGTTACTTTTGTTATCATCCTTCAGGTAACTGAGACATATTGTATTGTTCATATACACCCTTCTTTCCTCTCCAAGGACATAGGTTGAAAAAAATAAAATAATTTAATATTAAATCTGGGACATGAGTTCAGAAAGATCACACTATCAAAATCTGGGAAGTGGTTCAGAATGCTTCCTGAATTAGGTCGAGTAATCGTATTGCTGTACCGGTATGCTGTATTTAGGGTTTGAATTTGGGAGTAAATGCTGCGTTCATTAGGTGTGTAGGAGAATATTGAAGGAAACGTACTGTAGGATTTAATATTAATTGTGTAGAAACATAAAGAAAAAATGTTTAACTTGAGGGGAAATATGAAGGACAGCACATTAGTGAAGAGTGAAGTAAACAACTACAGTACAGGTCTGTGCTCTGGGATCATTCATATCGATACTGTGGATCTGTGATTTTTTATCGGATTCAGGGTATAGTCCTTGGGCTAGCCAGGAAGTTGTGGAAGTGTAGGTTCCTTAGAGAAATACAGTACTGTGTGAAAATTAAACATTGTACAGTTTCCTCTTTTCCTTTTCTTATTTGGTTACATTTAGGGTTTGTCATTTAAGAAACATATTGATTCTGGACTTTGCTATGGTCCTGGGTGCCTTCTCTGTCACCTTAACCCTAGTCTAGTTATAGGAATTTTTTGGGAGGAGAGCTCAGTTAACTCGTGTAAAAGAAGCTATGTTGATGTGTACCGTATATAAGAAATTTTGTGTAAAGATTTGGTCATTTTTTTTAAGTGATGGAGATCTCTACTTGTGTGGTGGAAGGACATATGGAAAAGAATGATAAAAGTGTTTCAACAATACTGAACGTATAGGGATTTATTGGTGTTTTCTTGTTTCATTGATTTGTTGAATATGTGTTTTTGTTGTTGAAGATGAAGAATATAATTTTACTGAGTTCAGACGAGCTTCCCTGTCAGGTGTAGACTTTTATTTGTTTGTTTTTTCAAGTTGTATGATTATCTTACTCACTTAACCTGACATCTCACTGTATCTTCAAAGTAGACCAGTGCATGTAGAATACTGGACCAAACAATTTCATCACCCTCACAGATGCACACATACACACACAGATTATAGAATGTTAACTGTGGAGACATTTATTCAAGAATTCTTCATTTTGTTTTATTCACCACCAGATACTAATAATGTAAGGTAATGCAGTAGAGTAACCATTTATTGTGTTAAAAGACATAGTATGCAAATATAAGTGATGAGTGGAGGATTCTTAAATGTCTTATCAATTTGAACCTTCATGTGTACTGTATATCCAGGTTCAGTATGTAAGATCCAAGAACCTCGGGACCAGGACCAAGCTGGCTTTAAAAATTTTCCATTTTTTCTCCAATAAAATAATTATCTTAGGCAGATACTCATAGTGATGAGTGATTGTAAAGTGTATAGGAAAAATGTATTTGGGCTCCTAAACACTGCACAAAATGTGTTAATTTTACATTAACTTCTTTTTTATGAAGCATGATAGATAGAATACTGTACTTTCATGTAGCCTATCTTGATATTATGAAATTCATAGCTTTCCCAAAAAGTGAAAAGAATGAATATTTTTACTGTATACTATATCTGATTAGTTTACCGTGTAGTAGGCATGTGAATGGTGTCAGTTGAGGAATGACAGTTTTCTTACATTCCTGGTTATCTCATACTTGGATTTTACATGTTGAATATTTATTAAGTTATAGCATGAATTCCTCCATCAAATCCAACCATCTCTTTTTTATATTTTCTCTTTATTTAATGTGCTGTATATAAATGGCAGGCCATAAATGAGGTGCAAATATGATTTTGATTGTTGTAGAGTGAGTGGTTTATAATGGAAGCTGTTGTGGGTGTTATTTGTGGATGCTGTTGCTGATATGACTGGCTGATAATGAGACACTTAGTGCTAATTAACTTTTATGGAAGGTGCATGAGAAGGTTAAAAGTAAAAGTGAGTAATAGCAACGTTAGTGTTGGCAGTTGATGTAATATTGGGTAGAGTGGAGAGGAATTGGAAATGGTAGATAGATTAAGATACTGTATACTGTATTTGGGGTATAGGTCTCTGCTTAATGAGACTGCCAATGGAAGGTAGAAAGCTTCAAAATCAGAGTTTTGATAATAAGATCTAAATGTATGTCTTATAAACCTGGGTATATCAGTGTGATTGGAATAAAATCTTTAACTGTGGTAGTACCGTAGTACGTTGAAGTCGTAAGAATTGAAAGGTGGAAAGTGAAGTTATGATTATATGAGGTGAAGAAGTAAAAGGAATGATGCTTGATTAAGTTTAACAGATCGGATTGTACAGCCCATCTTGGCTGTTTGATGCAGTAATGAATGTATGCTCTTTCGGAGTGGATATATTTAGCATAAGATTAACAATAGTTTGTTGGAAAGATTGGAGGGAGAGATAGACTGTATGAAAGATATATTCAGCTAGAGCTTTCAGATAAGCTTAGTTAACCTTGATTTAAATGTGAAGCAGATTTAGTCATTAATGCTTTAAATTAACAGTGATTTAATGTGAAGTATTCAGGTGTACTCGGGGTCCCTGGGTTACAAACGGGTTCCGTTCCTGAGGAAGTTCTTAAGTCAGATTTGTATGTAAGTCGGAACACATGCGATGAACATACCATACTGAGAGAACAGTGTTTAAAATCCCACTATATCATAGCCTAAGTCCTTCTATGTATTTAAAATCACTTAATTTAAGACAAAAGAAGAAATATAATGACAAAGTACAGTAAGTGAAAGAAAAATAAGTCGTGTAAATAAAATAATGTAAATTTCAAGTTTAACCCCGTTCGTATCGGTGGGCGTTTGTAAATCGGACGTTTGTAAGTCGGGGATCCCCTATGGAAATCCTGCCTCAAATTCAGCCTTGAGATAAATTTAGGTTATTAAGTCTCTCTCAGTTGTAGGTGAGGAGACTCATTGTTCTGCCCAGTATTAATTGTCATCTTCTTCTTCCACTCTAATTATGTCATTGTCTGAGCGATGACTCATCCATCTGATTGTGTCACTGGGGAGAACTTAAGGTTAGTTTTCTTGTTTTTTGAGATGATTGCTTCCTAGCTTGGGTGCATATTAGTTAGTTCATGTGGCACTTGACCACTTCCAGCTGTTCCTAGCTAGTTTGGAACCTCACAGATCACATGTTGAGTGACCCATAGAACATTAATAAAGAAATGAAGTATGAAATTCCATTCATGGGTTAGGAGAAGAGACAAGTGATTTGGAATTCTCCTATTTCTCTTTTGGGGTTTCTTTGTTGACAGGAAAGTGTAGGGTTTGATATGTGAGACTCATGTTTGTTGCAGTGGAGTTTGACATAGAGTGAACTTGCTTCAGGGTCCCTTCCTGTGTACAGTACTGTATCTTATTGCTTGCTGGCTTTGAAGCAACTACCAAGTTTAGGCTGGAGCTTGATTCATTAATCCTGGTTCAGCTAGGTGAGTAGCTGCTTTGTAGCTTTTTGCTCTGATCAGACTGGACTTTGCCTCTTTTCAACCATCAAGTGGGATACATTTTTTTTTCTTAGACTTGACAAAGATTGTACTAAAATTTATTAGGCTCTTCTTCATTGCTTTTCATTGATTTGTGCTTTATGTATTACAGTATATTGTTTGTACAATCATATTGTATCAATAATTTTTTTTTGTACTAGCCAATTTATTTATGCATTTCATTTACATCAAGAATTATTTCTGTCAATCTATTTAGGTTTTGTATCTGAGTGTCTGTAAACCATTGATATTTCTTATTATTTTTTGTGTTTCTGATATAGTTGTTTATAAATAATAAAGTTGGTGATTGAAGCACTTATTGTACTGGATGTTCCATTGAACAATAGGGAGTAATAATGACTAGAATTGTTATTGGTTCTTTTATTTATACTTTAGTATTTGTTTGACAATATTACAAACAATTATGGTGAACTCTGTTGAAAATATCTAATGTGATTTGAGAACAAACTCATTTTCAAATTACAGAAGATATTTTGAACAGAGTTCAGCAAAATTGAGTGGAATATTACAAAAATGCATTAATAATATTGTCAGAAATACTGTAAATATAAATACATGTATTCTACTGCATGAATAACTTTTTTATATACTCCTTGTGGTTCCATTTAAATGAAACACCTTGTAGACATAACACTTATTCATTGAAGAAGAATTTTCATTGATTACAATTTTTCTCTTTGTTTTGTTTTTCATTTTCTGTTGTTCCTTATAGCCATTTATTTCAGTGATACTGTACTGTACTTCCCAAGCAATCAGTTCTCCCCCTTGTTTATATTTATTTAATGACCCCTTAATGTTTTTACACATTTATTTTATTGATGTGAGTATGTGATATGTGGTAACTGCTTTGCTTATTATGTAGGCAAGTCTACCTGTAGTGTCTTCAAGTAACATTTTGAGCATCACTATATGATTTTTTAGTATTTGTAGGCATGACTGCAAGCTGAGGTGTTTTGCAGATATTGTGTATTGTTGCTAGCAGATGTGTTTGGCAAATAATGTATTTGTACCTCCATGCTTTTATGTGGGAAATGTCCATCTGTTTTCAATAGGTGGATGGGCATATAATTAGACACATATAAAATTTCTCCCATTGTTGTAGGTTGGCGTATTTGTGTACTATGCAGTGACCATGGGTGATGTAGGCCCTTATTCCCCCGTTCCTTGGTCCTCTCCACTCATTTATGACCCATATCGCCGCATGGAAGTTTGGAGGTTCATCTCTTATATGTTCCTTCATGCTGGGTATGTATGCTTTGCAATTTTTTTTATATATAGTACTGTACTTATTATTGTTGTGTTACAGTACTATTCTTGTTTATATTATTTTTGTATGTAAACATTTTTTTTTATAAACTTAACATGTGGAGAAATTTGTTTTGTAGAAAATTTTGAAAGGTCTGCTTGTATTTCTATAATCACTTGTCAGTTTTTTTGCACATTGCTTCAAACAGTTGCATGAGGCCTGAAATGCAGATACAACAAAATAAGGAAAGAAATACTTCAGTTAAGATTAATCTAAAGATGCCTAAATAATGCCAAGTGTAATTCAGTGAAATAAACATTTCATTACTTGAAGGAAATTTTTTTTTTTTTTTAAAGATAAGGTTTCAGTCATAGACAGATGTCCTTATCAAGATCAGGCATTGTAGGGCAAATAAAATAGAGGGAAGTAGTCTTGCATCAGTAATCCCTAACCTTTTTATGTAAATGAGCCACATTTAATGGTGCACTTTAAACAGAGCAAATAAATTAATTAGGTATGTCCTTAATCACCAGTTTAACAAAATTGCATGAGAAAATTACCTTTAAGCGTATTTATATCCATACAGTACGGTGCAGTATGTGGAATTTGGATTTATGAAAAAGTTCACAATTGAAAGTACTGTATCCTATAAAGAAAATTAGGGTGGAACTTTAATATTCTATTGCTTTTATTATTATAAAGAAAAAATTTAAGTTTCATAGTACAGTACAGGGGATCCCAGACTTACGAACGCCCGCCAGGGGTTAAACTTTAAATTTATAGTATTTTACTTACTTGATGAATTATTTTTTACTGTCATTTATTGTATTTTGTCATTGTATTTTTTCTTAATTTAAGTGATATTAGATGTATATAAGGACTTAGGCTATGATATAGTGGGATTTTAAACATTGTTCTGTTAGTATCGTATACACATAGCCTGTGTTCTGCTTTACGTACAAATCTGACTTAAAAACGTCCTCAGGAATGGAACCCGTTCGTAACCTGGGGACCCCTGTATAATGGAACATTATAACTGAACATTCTTAAAAACAACTAAGATATATGGTAACACTAATGACACCATGGGCATCCAGGATTTTATGTTAGGAGTGAAATTGTTAAAATGATAAAAACTAAAATAGGGAAATTAAAAAGAAATAAAGGGTCAATTTTATCTAGCAGATTACAGAAATTGTACTGTGTGCCCTGATGTCTTCTATCACATTGTGTAAAAGTATTATCAACTCGACACATTATCATAAAAATACTGTATTTACAGTTCATAGACTTAACGTACTTTTTAATTACAAATCTTTAATCTGCTAGTAAACTTTACACAGGCTTAGGCTCCTCACCATTTAAGGTTAGGTGAAAAATTCAATAATAGTAGTCTCTATAATGGATCAAAGTGTTGTGCATCATTTTAGTCTGCATAATTGTTTTTTTTCTTCATGATGCTGCAAGTATTTTAAACCTCGCTGTCATTTGCTAATATGCATGCCATCCATAGGCAAACAATTACACCGAGTCTCTACGTTGAAAAAACAATTATTTGTGTCCCTACAACCTAAAAGTGATGGGAAAAGGTCCATTAATATACCTGTACACGACTCATGTCTTCTGTGAGTGAAAATCATCTAGAATATGGCTTTTAGGTAAAGTTTCTTTCGTCATTATGTAATAGTATTCTCTATATTTTTACTTTGTCTTATAAGGTATGTGCATCTGCTATCTAATGTGATAGTAACACTGTTTGTGGGGGTTCCACTGGAGATGGTTCATCGCTGGTGGCGGCTCCTGATTCTCTACGTAGCAGGTGTACTTGCTGGCTCTCTTGCTGCCTCCATGTTTGATCCTAAAGTAAGTACAGTATTCATCTGTTCAAATACTGTACTGTAATACTATTTTTTCTTTAGTTTCCAACCAGTTTTTGATAGAAATGAGAAGAGGAAACATAGATCGTGAATAAAAATTTTCAAAACATTAGATAAATGGGTCGAGTATAAAAGAGTGAAGTAGGAAGGAACCAAATAAATGTGCTGGCTTGGAAAGTTCAGCCTAGTACAGTACCTGCACAGTATTTATTTTTTGTGTAAGACTTCTTAATCATGTCCTCAGTCATACCTGGTGGGTGCATCTGGTGGTTGCTATGCACTGATTGCAGCTCACTTGGCAAACATCATCATCAACTGGGGAGAAATGCCCTTTAATTGGGTTCGACTGTTGGCACTGGTAACCCTCACGACTACTGATGTTGGGGTATTTGCGTACATGACCCTGACCAAATCAACTACAAGGGTGAGTTTATTATTCAAGAGTAATTTTATCCTTTTGTAAGAGGCTGAATTTTTTTATTAAAGCTCTCTATGGGTATTCTAACATAAAGAATATACACTACCTGTATACTTAGCATTGTTCAATACTGTACTTTATTGAAAATTTTTAACACTTAAGATTAACATTATAAGGGTGTGATAATTAAAAGAAAAACTTTAATGAAGATGTAGATTGATAATTTAATGCTTGTGATGTAAAAGTTAAGCTGTTTATATAAACATATTTTATGCACAGAAACAGCTGATCCACCAGACTCAAAAATTTAAGTACAGTGCTGTACATTACTACTGTAAGCACATAACCACAAATAGACCTTAGTAAAAACAACTTTTAAGATGATGTTTGAAAATACTTTAGAACTTTTACTTCTGAATTAGCAGATCATACCTTTATCTAGGCAGCTGTTAATATTATGTTGTTAATTATTTTGATATACAGTATTGATTCTTTATGAGGCAGCTTATGTTTTTTAATATTGCAGGTGAGTTATGTGGCTCACCTCGCTGGATTTGTTGCCGGACTGTTGGTGGGAATGGTGACACTTCGGAATCTTCGTGAGCACCGCTGGGAGATCATTCTGAAATGGATCGGCCTTACAGTTTTCCTGTGCCTTATTACTGCAGCTATTGTCATTCAGATTGTTTTCCCAGATTTGGTAGGTCTGTATTCACCCATGCCTGAGAAACTGACTGTGGAAACTGCAACAGACATTGGTCTTTAATGGCTATATGTAATACTGTACTCCTAAACAGGAGATAAACAGCAGGTTTGAAAGGTAGCTTTGAAGTACAATTGATTTTTATTATTCTAAATGCCTATACTGTACTCTATATGGGAAAATCATCCCTTTTTGCACCACACATTGAGGCTTTTATAAAAAATTTCTCACTTTTTCACATTTGCATTGAATAGTCTCTTGTTTATTTGTTATTAAGCGTAACAAGAGTATGACAACTTTTTAATTAATTTTACTGGATTTGAATCTCATTTCAATAATCTCTATATATCTTGTTTTATGATGTTATTTTATATTGAATTGGTAACAAATAAGATTATTGACAAATATCTGATGAATATTTCAATGTCTAGTGTTTACCCAAAGGATCATCTTGTTACAAATATACATTACCAACAGTGCAGTTAATATTAAACTTTAAAGTACAGCTAGTACTGTATCAGTGAAAATGTTGTTGTTTGAATATATACTGGATGTAAGATTTTCTTTTCAGTCTACTGAACACAAGTTTGTCATTTTTACACATTAGTAACTGCCTGACACTTAGATTATTTTTCTCTAGAATTTGATATACATAATAGTTAATAATCACAGAATCATAGCTTCATATCACCTTGCACCATCTCTCAATATGAGTCACCTTCCTTGTATAGTGAAGCATGGACAGGAAGTACAGTATTTCAGAGCTGTATGGTATTGTGTGTTGGTGTTTAAGAAACGAATTGTGCAAGATGGTATTAGTGATAGGCTGTGTAAGAATAAGAGGGTGACTCTCAGGAAAGGTTGTTGCCAGATATCATGTGCCTAAATATAGAGATTCTCCTTGCTGCTTAAGAGGATTATATATATATATATATATATATATATATATATATATATATATATATATATATATATATATATATATATATATATATATATATATATATATATATATATATATATATATATATATAAAATTGGAACCCTTGTAGCTTAGTTTTATTTTTATATGCACTTATAAAACAAGGGGGGGCAGTATTTGTAGCTGACCTTTGTACAGTTTTTAAAATATTTGATACATGCTAAATATTTTTTTACCATTTACTATGGTATCTTATGCACTGAACCTTTTTAATCAACAAAGCATTATTATATGTACTGTACAGTATATGTAAGTGCACATGTTTGTGAATGTGTGTGTTTTGGTTACTATTAGCAGTTGTGGTGGGACAGTACCATAGTTGATATGAATGAAGAATTATTTTATATGCCTTATTATTGCAGCTTTTTTACTTTGTATATAAATGCAGTATACATATAGGTATAATGATCCTGTATGTTATGATGGGAATTTTTAATACAGCCAAAGTAGTTTTTAGTACATGTATTATTTTAAGCTTAATTTAAAAGTGAACTATTCAGTACGTGAAATTCTTAAGAGTGCAGTAGATAGAATAGAAAGAGTAAAACTAGAATTTGTAGATATTATTTTTATGTTCAAGAAAAGTCTTTTTACTGTGTCAATAAAAAAGGGTAATATGGTCAAAGCTCTAAAATTCTAAATTTGGAAGTCCCTAATGTTCAAGAATATGCCTGGTCTCAGATATAGAGTGTGAGTTTGCGAGTCTGGTCACTGTAACCTCGGTTTTCCTTTATTATTATTATTATTATTATTATTATTATTATTGTGCTATATATATATTTGTTTTTAATTATACATACACATATTTCTTGCTGTAAGAAAGTGGTGAGTTCAATAAAAATCATGTGTAGAGCAAAAAATTGTGAAGTGAAAGCTATTTTTCCCAGACACGTAGTGTTATAAATGGAGAATCATTGCTGGGGCTGCTTTTCTGTCACTATGCAATCAAACTACAGTACTGTACTGTAATTAAAAAAGGACATAATAACCCATATATCAATACAGAACATTACTAATTATTGGTATACTGTATAATTAAATTATTATAGTCACCATAAATACATTAAAACAAGAAAAAAGCAAATTTGGTTATCAAGAAGAATGATTTTGCCTCATTCACAGCATTTTTATCTCACTTTTCTTGGGTTTCCTCACAGAGAGAGGGCTGGACATATTGTGAATTAAGGTTCCATGCATACCTTCTCTCTAAACCAGTGGTTCCCAATCTTTTTAACGTGACGCCTCCTTTTGCTTTTTGTCACGCCCCTCCCCCCCCTTATATTTTAGTATGTAAAAATGATTTTTTTTTTAAAATTATATTTTAGTGTTGTTGAGGATCAGATAACTCCTTGTGAAAGATATGAGTAGTGTGAGAGTCAGTATGGTATCATGACGTACAAGACGCATAAGGAGAGAGAGATGAAATGATAGAAAACGGATCAGGGTTGGCTTCATTCCTACCCTGTACCCACCTCACGCCCCCAGTTTGGGAACCACTGCTCTGAACTACACACAAAATAGACTACTGATTGATTGACAGATGCCTAGCCTCACCATCTTTCAGTGTTATGAAAAACAAATATAACCGAGGTTTTCTTTCACATAAAGGACAGTAATCTTACCTCGTGTCTTGGGGCGGCAAAAGATTAGTACAATACTGTACCTGCACAGCGAATCCTAATTGGAGGAGTGGTACAGTCTATAGTAATTTGGGCACAACTTAAATGTGCAATGCAAGAAAAGTGTATCGGTAAAGATACATTGTACATAGTGAAATCTGTATACCGTACTACTTAATCCCAAGGTGTTTGGAGTTCTTAACTTTGATTGTAATACCATAAAAAGATTTAAGAGATAGTGTATAAATATTTATACTTTATTTTGGTTGTCCTTATTGCAAGGCACATAACATTAAGTGGTATAATTGATTTTCAGTGGTATAGTGTGTTTATCTTGCAGGTGAATGACAAATAGGTTTAGTTCCTGACTAGGGAAAAAATTTGATTTTCATTCTGTACACTGGCCCTTGTGCACTCAGCAATTAGTACAGCCTGTACACTTGTGTATGTTTGCTGGTGGTGGAACAACCCTTGGGTAGACTGGCATCCTACCAGGGTGGTGGGATACTCCTTTAGCTAAAGAATACTATGAATTGGGATCATCACCTGACTAGCCATTCTGCATTACAGTAGGAAAAGACTCGTGTGCACAAAAAAATATTTCTTACAAAATATTACAACTTCCTAAGACAATTGCTGCTGTGTTTACTTATATGTAATGTGAATGATATTCAACAGGTAGCTAGATTATTTATTTTTATTGAAGTGATAGTAAGAAAGCTACTATTTGGTGTATCTGCTACTGTAGTTCTGAAACACAGCTTTCTTAGCCATCGTGTACCTTATAAGCTAGATCTGTTTAGATTTTTTTATGCTATATGATTTATACTTCATATTTTGTATAAAAAAGGAAAATAATGACTTGGATTGTGTTTCCTTGTGGTGTACCTTTTGAGACACGAAGCCAAATGTGTGACAAACCTTGTTTCCATGCACTGGAGTTTTCTTTTTAGCTTGCCCAGTGCCGAGGGTACACACCATATTATTCATTTGTTGGTATAGACTGGCATGTTGTATGTCCAGTAGTAGTTGTACAGTTGTCCACATGTATAGCATTTCACCCCTCATTAGGCTTTATGAACATGTGGCAATGTCGGAATCACTTGATGAATGAATCAGAAAAGGTGAGAACAGCAGTTGGCAATTGCTGTTCTTCTCAACTTTAACGATTCATTTATAAAGTGATTCCGACGTTGCCACATGTTCAGAAAGGTTACCAAGGGGTGAAACACTACAGTATACTGTGGACAACTGTACATACTGCCATATGTTAGTCACTGAACATATAGGTATGATCACCTAATAATTACAGTAGTCAACTCCATGTTAACTAGGTTATTGTGACCTACTTTCGATCACAATTTCACATCCACCCATAGGTCTACAATAATACATCATCACAATAGCAAACACCATGTAAATAGAACACCAACGGAGAGTTGATTTTCTTCCCGTAACCAAGTCACTGAGACCGACCTTTTTTCAACAATGTACAGTACAATCACCAAACTTCGTGGGTCTGATTACCCAATTACAGTCATCAATTGATTTACAGTACGAGATAAGCACAGTACAGGAGTACTTAGGAAAAATCCAGGTCCAAGTGTAGTTGTAATACAGCACACAGTAACAAACCTTCATCTGCATGTTCATCTAATGACACCTATTTGCATATATTAAATCTAGATAACTGACTGACTTTTGTGATCGTGGTGATACTACTATCGTGCACAAAAGTCGTGTCCACTACCCAGCCACAGTGAGGTTTCGAATAGCCTTGAGTCTGAAGTTTTGAAACAACTGGGGGAAATGCTATGGTCGGCCAACAGATGTCGCCCACTGTAGTGTGTGTGGGTGGGGGGGGAGGGGATGTAGGAGGTGGGGGTTAGTCTAGTAACAGGCTGTGTGTAGGTGGAGCATAACATCGTGAATTCTGCAATCACTGATAACAATAAGAATTTCAAGAAGATACTTAATATTATTAAGCATGTGTTATGGGTAAATAAAAGCACTACAACGACCATATCTCTGCCGTTCATGGCTGCGCCGGTGCGAATGATGGGCACAGTAGTAATTAATTCTCTGTGACTACCAGTAATGGTAGTCACGGAGAATACACAAGTTGTTACTAAGGTTGGCGCCACCCACACCAGGGGAAGGAGGTGATATCGAACACTGAAACATGCCGAGGTCTCATTCCTACCATCGTCGTCACCAAAAGGTAAGTCACATTAATTTGTCAGCATAGCCCATGTCGTCCTTATACTATTGCAGGGTGTCCCATGAGTGACAGCAGATATTTGTAGAGGTGAAAGAATATGTGATATTGAGTTGAAAATCTTCTATACACATAAGCATTTTTCGGTTGGCAAAAGTCCTGGGAAAATGAACCAACAAGTCATAAGCTAAAAATGATCAAATCATCAGTTTATCCTTGGTCACCATCAAAACAATCCTCTCGACATCACGAAACTATTCTGAATCGTCTAAGAATTGGGCATACGCGATTGACGCATGGCCAACTCATGTCTTCCCCTAATGGAGCCCCACCTATATGCTCCAACTGCCGAACACAAATAACAGTCCAACATATTCTCATTGAATGCCCTATTTATAATCGGTATCGAACAATGTGTTTCACTAACCCTACAATGTAAGATATTTTAGCAGAGACCCCAAAATTTTCCCTAAGTTCAGTTTTGGCCTTTTTGAAATACTGTAATCTCCTCCAAACAATATGACACTAAATTATAGAAACACAAATATATGTTAACTAATCCCTCTGGCCAGCCCTAGGAGAGACTCAAATGGGTGTCAGTGGTCTGGTTAAACTAAATCTTGATGATGATGATGATTATCGGCGAATGTTCACTCTACAGTCGCAGGGGTGGTGGTGGAGGTTTGGGGGTGGGTGGGGGAGGGGAATGATCCACTTGCAGTTCACTATGAATACATGAAATAGGAAGGGTTTCTTGGGCAGTTGATCCTAAAAGATTTACCAAAACGTTATGTCAGAGTAATAATACTTAACCTAGGTGTTACTAATACCATTAATTTACACTAGTATATAAAAGCCTGCATCAGTTACCACAACATAATACTACTCTGCCATTTCAGATATGCCTGCAGGACGAGCAAATTCGTCGGCAGTGATTGCTGAGCGAGGCCAAATCATCGGGATGTGGAGAGCCGGGGCAACTGTGCCGAACATTGCTCTCGAAGTGGGGAGGAGCACCAAGACGATTAGGAGGTGGATCCGCCAGTGGGAGGAAGAGGGCTCAGTTGAGACGAAACCTCAAAGCGGGAGACCATGAGTAACGTCGGCGAGGATGGACGCCATGATCGTAGCAGCGGCAACGGCATATGCAATGCGAACATCAGTGGAGCATACAAGAAATCTGGGCCTCAACTGCCATCACATGACGACGAGACGCCGACATCATGAAGCCGGGATCGACTGCCATATTCCAGCTCACAAAGGGTAGCTAACATCTACTCACAAGGAGTGTCGATTCGGCTTTGCATTGGAACACCTTCCACATAGAGAAGAATACTGGAGAACCATTATATTTACCGATGAAACGGTGTTCAGGTCAGTGGGAGCCGAAGCAAGGCAGTGCTGGCGGTCCCCCAACACACGCTACCATGAGAAACACATTCAACATCGCGCAGTGAGTGGTAGGGTGCTAGTGTCATTCTGGGGCGGCCCCCCAACACACGCTACCATGAGAAACACATTCAACATCGCGCAGTGAGTGATAGGGTGTCAGTGTCATTCTGGGGGTGAAGATGAGGCAGGGCTTGGCTCGGGGGCAGCAGTACACACAACCTGTGAGCAGGGGGGGCTCACAGGGGGACTACCAGCTTGTGTCAAACCTAAAGAGGGGAGTGACTGGGTGGCAGCAAAGGGCAGGAGTTGGCGGTGTAGGTCCGAGATGGCGGTACAGAGTGTAACCAAGAGTTTCTCAACATGACTGGTAAATTCTTGGAAGAGGGACATGATCTGTGTCATGTCACTGGAGAGGGGTTGTGGGGGGCACTGGTGGCGGCACAAATCTGTTGTCATGTACAACTCAGGGAAGAGGGGTTGTGGGGGGCACTGGTGGCGGCACAAGGCTTGACAGCGTCAGAGTAGCGACGGGGTTGTGGGGGGGAACTGGTGGGAACACGAAGCATGATAGTGTCAGAGTAGAGACGGGGAGGAGGCTCAGTAGTGGTTGAGTTAGGGAATGGTAGGTGCTGTTGTGGCAC